AAACAAATCTCCATAGCACAGCACATGCCTAAATCACTAAGGCATATCAAAGGACATTATCCTTGAGTGCTGTTTCTTATACTCTTCCTCAGCTTTTGTCAGATGGAAGAGACCGGGCTCTATTTGAACAGATTTTTATGATTAATTGACATGAGATTGTCAGTTCCCCCTGTAACTTTGTGATGAGTGTACCAGCTGTTCTTTTAGTTCACACTGTTTACAAGCACAGAATCACAGAATATCTTGAGTTGGAAGTGACCCGTAAGGATCATTGAGTCCAACTCCGAGCTCCTCGCAGGACTACCTAGAACTAAACCATATGACTAAGAGTGTTGTCCAGACACTCCTTAACTCTGACAGCTTGGTGCCATGACCACATCCCTGGGAAGCCTGTTCCAGTGACTGACAACTCTCCCAGTGAAGAACCATTTCCTCATGTACCATCTGAATGTCCACTATGCTGCCCACCTTGAAGAAGTTCTAGACTGAGATGAGGTCACCTCTCAGGCTTCTCTTCTCAAAGTTGAATAAACCAGGTGACCTCAGAATCTCATAAGTCTCAGCATATTCCATTATAGTTTACCATGGGGTATTATAATGCAAAAGAAGATGATATTCTTAATAGGATGTTACTGTCTTTTTTTTTTTTTTTTTTTTTTTTACAGGGCTATTATGTCTTTATTCATCAGTTAATAAAATAAATGGCCATCCATCTATTCACTCTTCTTAAAAAAGCCTTCCTTTGTGTTATAAAATGGGTTTGGCTAAAGGGATATCATTGAAGGATCAGATATGCAGCACTGCAAGCTGTGGGCCTCAGCTATGGGCCAGTGTGTCATCTGAAAGAAACTGGGACAGCATAATCAATCTCAGTAAAGTTATGCCCTTTACTCTGGTCAACAAATTAGACTCCAGAAATATCATGTGCAACCCACCAAAATAGTATCAATGACACCAAAAAGTAATTGTGGGTTTTAAAATATTTGCTGTATAAACCAAAACCAAAACCAAAACCAAAACCAAAACAAACAAACAAACAAACAAAAACGCAAAGAAAAATGCATCAAGAAGTCCATGCGTCCATGTTACTAATTCTGTCAGGTTTACTTCTCTTATTCCAGTAATAATTCAGTAATGACTGTGATCTGATCTTAATTCCTACTGTATCTTTGTCATCTCGGAAGATTCATCGGGAAGCAAAGAAAAGTCAGAGAATGTTACATGTCAGCAGTGACAGATGGAGATCTGACATGCTTTGTATGCTTCAGCCTGCCTAGTAGCCATTTCTCATGGAAGTGAGAATAGAGATGAAACCTGTTACCTCATCAACATCTTTTTATTGTTCTTAAAGTGTTCAGTACGTAGCCAAATATTCAGTCTACCAACATCTCCATGAATGTGTATGTTTTACCGATTGCAAGAGTGAGAAATTTCACAAGGACTCTTGTGCCTTATGTCATGGTCAAAACCAAGCAGCTTAGCAGTTTGCTTTTGCTCTGAACCTTGGTATTTTGCATATCAGATGTCAGAAAATTATTAACATTCATATTTGACAGTTTTAATGACTTCTTATTAAAAGAGTGAATGTCTGGATCTACTTGATTACTATTAGTGTGTTGCACATTATTTGATATTAAGCATATATAGAGAATGATGTGTATAAACAATGGATTCTTTATAGAAAATCAAGCAAAAGTATCTGAAATAGACATTTATTAACTTTTTTCAATAAAGCAAACTCAATTCCCACTTGTATAACTCTGAGAAGGATGTTTTAAGAGCCAATGTTCAAATTTCTAAAGGTAATGAAATTCTTCTTTACAATCATACTTTCAGAATCAAAAGAAATATGTTACTGGGAGTGAAAATAATGGATTTTTCAAGAAGGTGTTACATAGCAAGGTTAATAGTCTGTTCTACAACTGTGGGTCTGCAAAATACATAGGATCTGGCAAACGTATCATATTAAATTCTAACTAAGGTCAACATATATACTTCTTTGTTCAGTTTTAAAATCCAGGTGTCTTGCTCATTCCACCCACTCTACACCAGAAGGGGACCATTTTGATTCTGACTTGAGAATGCTTTCACGTCACACAGCTGGACCAGCCCTTTTACACCAGGGCTCTGGTTGTTTAGAATATTAATCCTTGTGTTATTTGAAACTAATAGCAAAACTTCCTTAGATATCAGTAGAGTTTGATCAAGATTACAGTCTCTTCATTTAATTTCGTAATTCTGGGAAGGTCTCTGCTATGAGGGACTAACCCTGCACCAAGAATACAACTGAACTAGAATAATTTTAGGTAAACGGTTGGCTAGTACCTTACAAATTCTTTCTTGGCCACCCCAGATCACATGCTGGGGACCTGAATTTAGCTGTGGACTACTTACAGTGTAATCAATACATGTGGGAGGAGAAATGGTCTATTAATGCTATGTTTATTAACATCAGCAGCAGTCCAGTATCAGATGTACCTTAAAAAAACAGATGTGGAAATATGTTGTGACCTAAGGGACAGATAGAAAAAGAATGGCAGTATTCTGACCGGCAAACCTCTGGAAATAGCTTCCTCTCAGCTGCTGGTCTCAATCTGCCTTGACACCTTTTGCTGAGCATTAAAATACCTTTACAAATTTGCTGGATAACAACATAGAAGTTTTTTTTGTAGATATGATTTCAATTTTTTTTTAAATCCATTCTAGTGTTCCTTATAATTTCAGATTTCTAATCTTAGCACTAGGGAAGAGGGGAACTTTGATCAATGCTCACATTATATGTCGTATTTGTATTGCTGTTGCACCCAGGGGTCCCAATTAGTATGGATATTTCCAAAGACCAGATAAACAAATGCAAGCAGAAAAACACTTCTCATCTTTGGTAAACACATTAATTTACTTCTTAGGCCATACCTCTTACAGAGGATGTATAACCTGTGACACTACTTCTTCATATGTTTTCCTGCAAACACATGATGTGTTAGAATTCAAGAAAATTAGGTCTAAAGCATCACACCCTGATCTTGCAGGAAAGTGGGGTCTTTTTGGCTTTGAGTTTTTTTAGGAAAAGATTGCTCTCTGTATATGCTAGTCTTATACTGTTCTCGAAGCACTGGACATCAAATACTTTCTGAGACTAGATATCATGATAGATGGACTGACCCAGCATCTGTAGTTCTTGTAGCATTTGTATTCTTACACTGTTATGCTATTTATATGCTGAGCGTGAAACAGATGCTTCTTTTATCTTCTTTTTATTAGAAGAATGTATAAGTCCTCCAATCAGAGAATAGAAGTCTAAGATGCAAAGTTTCATTCTTAGGGAAGAATTTCCTTAATGAGCTGTTTGTATCATGTTTCTTGCTCTTATTATATTTGTAAATTAATTTACAACCTAGATGTCTGACTATAATTCACAAATTGCATGTTCTAAATATAGGAAATACTGTACAAATGGATCAGCAAGTGCAGTTTACCACTGCAATCTAACTAAACAGGCTGATTTTCCCTTTAACACTTAAGGAATAGGTACAAGATTGGTCCACTGTGGCTTGCAGCAATACCTTCTATTTTGCAGGGGAGGGAGCTATTCCCTACATTTTTAGGATGTGGATGTGTAAAATCATTCAGCGTGCTAAAGAGAAACACAGGGAGTGCAGCTGTGCCAGATAGGCTAAGGATGCCTGTGAAACATATATTGTTTTGTTCTGTCTCCAAGGTTAAAACAGATAAATAGAGATAATAAGAACAGGGGAAATGCTCTTTCTTGCAGACTTTCAGCCTAACAGCATATTGCAGCTATTTGTTTTGCCTCTACATACCCACCTCATCTAGAGAGGAAGGAATATTTAGCTGAGCCTTCTAGTCTGTTTATAGGCAATGTGTCTGCACACATTTGATGGTGTTAATGCCACAATCTTTTTCTACCTATATAAACAAATATTCTACCAATATTAAAAACAATCTAACTCTTCTACCAAATCATGGCTATTTGTTTGCATCTGGCAAAAGAATTGACCATCTCAACTTTATGCCCTCTCAGCTGGTCTGTCCCCCAGGGAGACTGCACTAAGCGCCCTTAAACTATGAGCTGGAAAATCATGACGTGCAGTTGGTACATTGCTAATGTCTTTATCTGTAGTATTAGTAGCACTCAACTCTGGGCAATTTACGGGTGTTTCTTGCAGGGCTGTCAGCATGTGCTTTCTGGGCAAATCAGAACATGGGCAATGCTGGTTGTGCGCGGTGTGTGCATCAGTTTCTCCATCTGTGTGGTACCTGGGGGAGCAAAACCTGAGTCAAAACTGGTTTCCTGTTTTATCCATATGTAGCCTCAAACTAGTATTTATGATGGGAGAAGTACGCGTTAAAAACAAACAAACAAACAAACAAACAACAAAACCACCACATTTGGAAATATTGATAGTGACGGCTGGAATTATCTCTGCCTCCTTTCATTTAGTTCCCCATTCAAATTTCTGTGCAGACCCTCTTTATGTTGCATAACAGTTAACACTGCAAATTGATATGACTTCAACACAGCCTAAACCACACAGATGAAGCACATACAGAAACATATTCACTACATTAGCTAGCAACATCAGTCAATCACTTGCACTGTAAATTGAAAATCACAATAGGATAGATTGTATCAGCTAAACACTTTCTGAAAAGCACTGAGCACTCTCCGGATGGGAGGCAAGGGAATGGAAAATAACTTTTTAGGGTTTATAGCATCCCTCCCCCCTTCCTTTCCCAAGACTGTGTTCATTAATATAACATGTTCATAGGGGACTGAATATTCCCTCACACCGGCCTCTTTGTACAAAAGGTCAAGCGAAAAATCAAATGTGACTCAAGTTCATAGAACCAACACTGCAATTTCAAATTAGAGAGATAGTGTTGGAACTGGTAGGGCTGAAATATTCTCATTTTTGCTCTGTAATCTTGATGCAATTTTAAAATTCTTTTTTTAAAATTAATCTCTTTTTTCTCTTTAGCTTCCAAAGGGGAAATGCGAGTGCCAGAAGCCCACCAGCTTATCTCAGCAAGCCAACTTGGACACAAATTGGAGGAAAAGAGCTGTAATAAAGAACAGATTCACTTTCATACTGACTGTTGGTTGTTATGAAACATAAAGAAAGATCAGTTTTTACAGTGATTGTCATAATTTTGAATGTCATCTTCTCTACCCTTTTGTTCTCTTGGACAATTGTACTTATGGGTGTTAATGGACATTTTATTTCTGTGCAAATTCTCTTCCTGCAAAACCAGCTACAAACACCAGCTTAAATTGTCTGAGAAATCTTCTTTAAAGCTCAATTTGTGTCTACATTGAACACACTGATGTTAAAGAAAAACGTGAAAATTACGGTCATTATTACACAGGGAGGTTCTTAGGGCTGGAGAAAGAACCATCCCTTGTTTCTGCCTTGGAACCTAATGTTGATCGCCACCTAATACTATTTATTACCCATATACAAGCAATTTTGATATAGCCTTATATTCTAAGGCCTTTACTGAGAAAAAAAAATGTTATATTCTTATAAGAGAGATTCATGATCAATATTTACATTTTAAAAGTTATGTGCCATTCTTGGTACAGTATTTTTCTGCAAATATTTCTGTAATTCACTCAGGTTTGTGACAAATATACTGTAACAAATTCCTCTGCATTTCACTTTTGTATTGTAGTTTTTATTAGCTCAGAAAAAGGAGCTTCAGGAGCTTCAAAGCCGTCTAACACATATGTCTGGACCCTTTTTGTTTGATCTTGGTATGAAGCTCTACTTGTTCCCTCCTGTCAGTCAAAGCAATAACAGCAATATGATAAATAATAATATGCATACATCATTTTGGGGTTTCGACAAGATGGACAAATAACTAAATATAATTGAAAAAAAACATCCTTTTGGCTAAATTTGAACAGCTTGACTCTGATTTCATTCATGGTTACTTTGCCTGAGTAAAAACAGGAAAAATATCCTGGAGGCAATGAAAAGCAGTATCAAAACAAACAAGTGTCAGATCAAGTGTCTGATCAGTCAAACCCTGTTCTTATTTTTGTGTGTTTTTCTGGCTCTGGGAAATGCCCGTTTAGACTGAAAAGGTACTGGCCTGAGTTCAAGCCAAAAATGAACACCTGAAGCTTTGAATGGACCCTTCAGGTCTTCAGAAGAACACCAGGAGCTCAGCAGAGCTCTGCCATCCCTAGGGTTTCTGGGCTGCCAGGAATGCAGCTCCCCATTTGGAGTGCAGCTAATAAAGGATCTCATACACTCCATTCAAAATAACTTTTCTTTTCCATCCACATTAAGATTTCTGTTGCCAATAGCACTCAAGAAGCGCTTAATCCTGCTAGTGGATGGAGAGGCAGAAAACTGCTTGGCTACCACTTGGTCACCGGCAGGCATCTATGGCAGAGATCTTCACCTGGCTTCTTGTGGTTACTTCTCATTGAGGAGGGAGGAGGTAATGTAAGGTGCAGAAATGTCCTGGGAAGCAGAGGTGGGAGCTGTGTTTGCTTGCTTCCCAGGAAAGTCCTAGCCTAGGAGGTGAGGCAGGCAGGAGAGAGGTATTTGAATGACTCCAAGGAGGGAACTGAACCAAACGGAGGTGATTATTTTCCCATGGAAGGTGCTAGTTGTTAACCTGTTATGCAAAAGATGAGTGTCTAATCCCTCATTTCTGAAGCCACTCTTCCTTCCTTCCTTTTTGTTCCTGTAACTCCTACGTTCCTGACTACACAAAGGAAGAAAAAACCTGCACTGATCTGAAAATAGTTGTCTTCCTGGCCAAGCACCTTAACCATTAGAATGTAAGAGAAAAATTGGCTGCTACTACTACAGTATCATTAACTTCAATCAGTTTGGATCAGACATTTAATGCTTTACTACCTGTCAACTTCAGAGCTACTAAAATCTTTTGTCCCTTCAATAATTATCTGTCTTTCCTGCTTCATTTCTTCTGGCATCCAAAATGTCCTCCCCAGCATTCACACTGCATGGTTCTCACTAATCTCTCTAATACCTGTTTTTGCATTCTCCGTTAGTTACAGCTATGAATTGCTAAACTGCAGCATATTTGAATAGTTCACTTGATATCTGATTGTTAAATACTTAAGTTGCAGCTCATCAGTTTAATTTTTATGCTGCTACAGCAGGATTGCTGAGTTTTCAATGGTAATAACAGTAGCATCCTTAGAGGATATTCAGAGATGGTTATTGCTAATGGCACTCAGACTTCATCAGTCTTGCAATGAGGTGAGTATATTTTTTTAGAACTGCCAAAGTATCCCATGAAACATAATTTCTCTTTTTAAAATGCATCTCAGCAGAAATGACTAAAGACTCTCACTCTTGTTCTGACTAAGCTGCTGTGGGATTTAAAAAACTCATGTGAATTAATTGCTGTTATCCCAAAGAAAGAGAAGAATGTTTTTCCCCCCCTTTCACATTTTAATAACAATTTTATGTCAGACTTCTTTTCTTTAGTCTTATTTTGAATCATGCCAAATCGTGTTGTGTAAAAAATTCAACAGCATTATCAGCAAGTAAGAGCATCTTCCAGTAGCCCTTGAACATCCTTGATTACTTGTTAAGAGAGAGGTCATCTATTTTCCACTTATGGTAGCCTCACAGAAAAACCCCATGTAGGGTGAAAAGACTTCTCTGAAGGTGTATTATGTTCTCTCAGGACTCCTCTCCTTACTCAGTTTTTACCTCTAAGCAATCCAGAACAGAGTTTCTTGACATCACAAAATAAAGTAAAAATCCTGTGTTTTCTGAGGCTGTTTCCACAGAGGCTGGGAGATCTTTGCTGGAGAATTTTAGAAATGTGCTACACAAATATCTGTTGGAGACAGTCATTATTTAACTCACCTCATTGCTGGAAAATGAGGTTTTTGAAGGTCTTTCTCCAGTCCCCAGCTCCAGAGAAGAGAACACTATGTATGTTCCCACTATGGCATCTTAGGACAAGACTGCTTTATCCAGTCTCTCCTTACAACATCTAGATGTTAAGATGTCAGAAATAGCAATATTCTGGCAACAGAAGAGAAAAAAATAACTGTTCCTACACTTCTTGTGATTATATGCAGCAGGGAAAACCAGCAAGAAAAACTAGGAACTTGGTGTCTCAGTTGTACAGAGCCATGTATCAGCACCCATAAGTGACACAAAATGTCATAGGCAGCAGAAATATGATAGACATATTTCTAGAGGGTCAATGCAACATTCATAATTGTGTGTGTGTATTTGTGTGTGGTCAGCAGTGTCTTTAAACAATAAAGCACTAAGGCACATGTTAATGAAATGACATTACCATTCCTAAAAGTCCTGCCACACTGAGCTGGGTTGTCGAACTTGACAGTGACTCTCTAGGATAACAAATTACCTCTAGGATAACAAAGACCCTGCACAGCTGGTACCAGGATACCACCAAATATATTTTCATAAATTTTCTGTCAAGCACACAAGTAAAAAAAAAAAGTACAAGTGTTCTGAAAAGTATAAATTCAAATGTAATCAGTAATAACATCATCTGAAACACTTTATTATGTGAAGGTACCATATATTTGCCCTTGGCGCTTTTGTGAATGCGCAATTAGTATAATAGTTAGTATTCTCATATTAATAGGCACCAATAATTTTCTCAATTGTTGTCTGCTTGCTCTGATAATCTACCAAGCTATTAGTCCATGCCTGTCTGATATAAAAGGCACTCTAAAATATGTGGATAGAAATATATCAAAAAGTGGTACTCAGACACAATAGTGTATTAGATTGGTAGAATGGTCACTCAGTTAACAGTCTGATCTGTAAAATACTAGCAAGGCTCCCATTATTTTATCCAGTGTATTGATTCAGGGAAGTGCTGCAGGAGACGTTAGCATTCAGATTTTTAAACGCCTCTCACTGCAGCCAAGGTCCTGCTGCTTCTCCTTCTTGCTGACAGCCAAGACCACTCCCCTCTCTTTCACTCTGTGAATACCAATCATAGAGACTCAAGAAAAAGATCTTTGGCAGCATGTATGGCTGAGATGGAGAGGCATTTCACTCAGAATGGGCAAGATCTTATATTTCACACAACTCACAAGCCATTTCAGTGTGTATGCAGTGTATGCAGCAGGTAGGGGGTTAGAGGAGCTGCCAGTCCTTTGGGGGAAGCTGCTAATCGAGCCTTCACAGTTTCAGCAGGGTACACACAACAGCCCACTCCTTCCCAGTGCTCACTGGCATCATCTCTTCTGATTTCACCTGCATCCTCTCCTCCTCTGTCTTTGGTGACTGACACTTTTGCTATCATTACCAGCAGACACAGTAATTTCCTGACAGGGTATGCCAGGGCCAGGATACCTGAGACAGCATGTGTCCCTGTGTGTGTGTGTGCAAGGGGACAACTCCAAATGCAGCCCTGCCATGAGCCTCATGTCCTGCCCTTGCACCAGCTAGAGAGAAGGGCGCAGCTACCTCTGCAGCGTGTGCATGGCTCTAATGGGGACGGACCCCCAGCACTGCTGAGATTCTTTAGGGAAAGCTAGTGCTCTGAGGCACCTGCCAGCTGCTTCTGGGGGGTCTGTCACTGCTGGCCTGCAGCAGGTATTCATGGCCCAGAAACTCTTGGTGCAAGAACTCTTCTTCCTCCTCTCTTCCCTCCTGTGCAGAAGATGACCAGACCACACTCTTGCCACTGAAACACTAATAGTAAATAATCTGAAACAAGAGGAGATTTGCCTCTGGAATACTTCTGTAACTGTGGAGGGCTGCAACCGGTATCTTTAGCTTGATAAATTTCTAAGTGGAGCATTTTCTGTGTGAGCCTTTCTAACATAAATACTTGTGCCTTTTTTGAGCAATTCAGATGCTTGAATAGAGTGAGGATGCAGCCACCACGGAGGGTCCCCTTCCCCTTCCCCTTCCCCTTCCCCTT